TTTCCGTGTTGATATACAGTTATATCAACACGAGTGGAAATTGGGAAAACGAGAAATTGTGTGGAAACACGACGCCCGAAGGGCGGAGTGTTTTCACACAATTTCGAGTTTTCCTAATTTCCACGAGTGTGGATATAACTATATATCAATACGGAAAAAATGTTTTATATTTGTTTTATAATATAGCACAAAGAAATATAAAGAAAGAAGTTTTCCGACGTTTCCGTGTTGACATTGAGTTATATCAACACGGCTCTTAGCCAATCAGCGTTCAGAATTTACAATTGCTATATTATAATATATGATACTATATGATACTATATGATACTATATGATACTATATGATACTATATGATACTATATGATTCTATATGATTTGACTGTGCCGCATTTCTAGCCATGAAATGAACCAAAACACTGTAGTTTACCCTATCATAAAACGCATTGCTCGCACCTAAATATTAGGCAGATTTAGACCGTTGACGCGGACGTCAAAGGCGACGTGAAAATGGCGTTAAAATGGCGTGGCATATCCATACATGGGCACAACATGCCATTTTCACGTCGTCTTTGACGTACGCGTCCTCGATCTAAATCTGTCTATTATATACAAGAACTTATGTCTATTTCACAGCAATTAAACTGACTCTGTATCTTAGCATTGAGAGCACTGCGACGGAATTGCAAAGTCCTAGGTTCGATTCCTGCCGGAGGATTTGAGTCGCAATGTTTCCAGTTACGTACAGTAGGTATACAAAACTATATATACAAATATTACCCTGGGTTTGTTTTATTTCTTGCAGATATTCTGATAACCAAAGAGCTCAAGATGCGATCAACGTTACCTTCTTTCACTGGGGAATCCACGGTTGGATTGTTTACGTTCTTGTTGGCTTAACCATGGCATTTCTTACGTACAGGAAGGGATTCCCCATGACAATACGTTCCTGTTTTTACCCTCTCATTGGTGACCGTATTTATGGCTGGATGGGTGACCTTATCGATTCGCTCTCAGTTATTGCCACCATGTTTGGAGTGTGTACTAGTCTCGGTATTGGCGTTATCACAATCAACACCGCATTGAATCGCATAGATCCGAATATCGAAGAGAGCACCAACAACCAGATTATTTGCATTTGGACTATCACACCAATTGCAACAATTTCGGTCGTGTCTGGCCTAAAAATCGGTATCAAGTATCTTAGTGAAATTTGCTTTACCCTTGGTATGTTTCTGATGATGTTTGTCTTATTTTACGATAACACTTGGTATATCCTTAATCTCTATGTTCAAAGTATCGGGTACTATATTCAATGGATCATTCAAATTGGATTCCATACAGATGCATTCGCACAACTGGGAAATGCACCAGATGGAAAACAAGCACCGACATGGATGGATAACTACACGGTTTTCTACTTGGGTTGGTGGATCGCTTGGTCACCATTCGTTGGTATTTTCATTGCTAAAATTTCTCGTGGAAGAACCGTGAGGAATTTTATTAATACCACTCTCGCTGCTCCGATGTTATACGTCTTCCTGTGGTTGTCTATCTTTGGAGGATCTGGTTTACGAATGGAACGTGATGCCGCTTTAAGAGGAATCAACTGCTCTTCAACGTTGGGCGGTACAGGTGCAACGGAAGGTCTTGATAGACTCTATAGACTTTCATGCAGAAACCACGCGCATATGTATTTCGACGTTCTTGACCAATACAGCGAAAATCTAGTCGGTTTTCTTCGTATTGTATCTTTGATTGCAATCGTCCTTTACTTTGTGACAAGTTCTGATAGTGGCTCGTTGATTATTGATTGTCTTTCAGCCAATGGCAATCCAGAACCACCTGTGCTTCAACGAATCTTCTGGGCGTTCACCGAAGGCGCGTGTGCCACAGCTCTTCTCTACACTGGCGGATCAAAAGCACTTGCCGCGATGCAGACTGTCTCCATTGCTACTGGTTTGTTTTACACCATTGTCTTAAATTTCATGTGTGTTGCTCTTTGGCGTGTAATGAAGGAAGAAGCAGGCGATCACGATCCGAACTCCGGCCGTCACTTTCCGACCAGCATTTTTGCTTTCTTTGATTTCGTGTCACGCGTGAAGACCATCAACGTGATTGTTTCCACAGTCGCACCTTGGTACCTGGCTGGCAAAACAGCTGCCGAAGTTTATGGTAAAAAGCCCTGGCCATATATGCTTGCACTTGCTTCATTGTTTTATGGTTGGATCGCATTAGAAATCTTGGAAATCCAGGTATACGGACTTGCGTACATTGGTTGGGTTGTGCTGTTTGGCTTCTTTGCCTTCCTGATTGGAATAAGAATACGCATCCATTCACGATACGAAATCAGTGGCAGTATGGTCGAAGACGCACTTACTGTGATATTCCTGTATCCGTTGGCCATTGAGCAGATGTACGAACAAGTGCGACGGAATGGCAATTATTCTGGAAATGAAACCACGCAGACAACAGTCGAAACTAAGTTTTAGCCCTCGAAAAGGAAGATTCTAAATCAAAATACGCCATTTTCTTATTTCCCGACTTTATACAATAAGTTATATTTAATGATAAAGAGATCGCATAATGGTTGGTGAGCTCGTATGCAGTGGCGTAACTACTATCGGCTCGGACCGAGAGAGCCCGGGGGCCCTCATCCCCAATGGGCCAAATGGGGGCCCCCAGGCTCAGAGCAAAAACATTGGCCAGGACCTCTGATATGTTGCAATGTCGTTTTATGGCCATCAGAAATTTGTAAAATCTCTCCCCAATGTCCGGGAAATCCGGAAATGGCATGTCAGAGAGACGAGAGAGTCTAGATTCAAAAATTTTCCGGGTGAGCATGCCCTGGACCCCTAGAAAACTTGTGTCTTTGCCACTTCTGCTAGGGGGTCCTTCGATAATTTTGAACCGGGGGGGCCTGATATAACGTTACGTCACTGCCCGTATGATTTTTATACACGGGTGTATAATAAAAATTGTAAAAGAGAACCAACCATCAAGTAATTTATTAATTCATAATTGGGTGCTGATCAGTGAAGTGAAGGACAATTCAATCGCGGTTTTAAAAATAGATAACTTAACATTAATCATTCATAATATTTACAACAATAATATAAATACAAAAATAGAACATATTATTTAAATCTAAATAACTGCATCGTTCCACTCATGAAATAATATTTATCGTTCAAAAAATCATACAAAATTCAAAATTGAAAACGACGCAACTTGTTTGATTAAAATTCAATAAACAGTAACTGGCATCAGTTGTCATAATATCATTCTCATCCAAGTCAAAGTTTATGGTTAAACGTTGTTTTAATCTGAGTTGCAGATACTTTAATACGCTTGTATTTTCTTCGGCTTGACGACACATTTTGTCATTCATTTCTGGCGATTGATTTAGGCTGTTTATCGACACGTTTATCTTAATAATTCTTGTTGTTAATGTTGCCGCTGTTTTACTCCCTGAATTTGGATGCTCAAAGAATGCTCGAATAATTCGTGAAAGTTCACAAATTGTTATGCCTGGAAAGCTGAACTTAAATTGTTGTCGGTCGGAGTTTCACCCATTCTTTTCATTAGCGAGTTTAGTGTGTTGACGCCGATGGGAGACTTTTTAAACCAAGAATTATTACTATGTAGATCAGGATGTAGATCCTTAATTTTTGCAATTGTTTATGGCGAGGTAAAACGGTGCTTCATCTGTGTTCATTTCACTCGGACGTTTTTCTATGCAATTAAGGACAGTTTTTTTAGTTTTAGTTTTATTAGCTTCGCCAACAAAAATATATGTATATACAAAATTACTATATATAAATTACATAACATAACAGAAATTACAACAAATGACGTCTAAATTTGGCAGGAGCAGCGTCAGCCAAATTGATTGGGAATTGATTGGGAGAGCAAACATCTTCGCCTTCGAGGTAACTTTTCTCCGTGTTTCGTGTCAAGATATTCGTTTCCAGTTCGATTTTATAATTATAATAATAATTATAATAATAAAAGTCTTTATTTCGCTACTCAAATCAAACGTCTGAGTTTACATATTAAGAATAAAAAATTAGATTCTTACTGTTATTTACATCACTATTTTTAGTACTTTAAAATTCTAAGGTATAAGAATATAGATATATATTTTATGTAAAATTAAAAAGACATCTATTTATAAACGCGTTTTTGAACCTCTCAGTTTTAACAATTGGTAGTTCAAAGTCATGACCTCTCCGTCGTAGAGGTCGATTTAACTTACTAGGTAAAAGATAGCATAAGGCATTCTTATCATCATTTATAATTCTTGACCATAATTTCTTGTGTCTGTTCGATATTGTTGCTTTAAAATCTGATCTGTTGCTTGTATAACCATTTCTATTGGCACGGTTGACAAACTTATCAATTTGACTTATACGTATTTGTTCTACGATGCCGGCTCCACCCCAAACTTCGACTGCAAAGGTGAAAAGAGAGACTATAAGACTGTTGAAGAGAAGATCCAATTGATGTGTAGAGAGCCCGTAGTGTTTACAAACCCTTAGAATATACATTCTTCTACTAGCTTTTTTCATCATCTCTTCGAAATGTTTATCAGGTATGTCTTCCATCGTGACACCCAAAAATTTGAGCCATTCTTTCGTTTTATGGATGGGATGTGATCCGGAAAGGGAGTAGACACTTTTCCGCGAACTATCATTTCATAGGTTTTCTCCTGCATGTTTAAAGACATTCTATTCTCGTTTGACCATAGCTTCATGTTTTCTACTTCATCCCCAGTTGAATCTTCGTAATCATAAACTGGTGCTATTATTGCAATATTATCAGCAAATTTGGATAAATCATTGGAGAGACTCACCGCCTTGATATCATTGACCATTATAGTAAACATTATAGGCCCAAGTACAGTACCCTGGGGGTACGCCACGATTAATGTCTAGAAATTCAGTTGTGACACCATCAACTTTCACTCTCTGTCTGTCTGTCTGCGGTTGTTCAAAAAGTCGATCATCCAGTTTATGATATATGGATTAATGGGTATTTTCTTGGTTTTATTAAACAATATATCGTGTGGGACACTACTAAATGCTTTACTAAAGTCAAATGAGATCACTCTAACTGATTTAGCAGACTTAGTTTACGTCGCCCCAGGGCATATTGCTGTATTCTTTGCAGCCACAAAGTCTAAAGTAAATAGTGTTGTTAATCCATACCGTGTTTAAGAGAGGTTCGCCGTACATGAAATTCGCAAAAGTTTTCTCTCTCGCAAAGTTGTTTGACATCGTCTTCGCTATAGAGCAACTGACGCCTTCGGTTTGTTTCCATTCCCTTTTTGCTTGAGGTCTTTTTGTTTTCATTGCAGAGTCCTTGTCCATCATGATGCTAAACCCGTAGACTGTTTTCTTCAAGTATCTCTCAAAAACTGACAAACATACAACCTCGTTCCCAGGCCCTTCCCTCTTCAGGAGGAAAGACCCTGGTCGGAGCTGGTCACCTGGCTCACAGAAAATTGATTGCCTAAGAGGGAAAAGTATCAATTACAATATTATAGCCCGCATTTGAACTGCAGGTGTAAATTTTACAACTGCACTTTTTGAACATTGTGATATACAGCTGTTTCAATTAAAGTTGTCCCCCGAGCAAAGCGGAAAAGTTGAATACGAGCGCGAAAGGCCGCTGGGAATCGCCAATAAATGAATGGATTTATTAGCGCTCCCAGCAGCCTTTCGCGCTCGTATTCAACTTTTCCGCTTTGCTCGGGGACAACCTTAATTGAAACAGCTGTATATGCAAACGGTTTTCATTGGCTGCCATACGTTCTCTTATTGAATATTGGTCAAGCAAAACGAATTTGCAGAATTTAGTGCTTTGAAAGAAAATTTATGTGAACAAATATTCTGAGACGGAGAAGATTTGTACTCTAGTAAGATTTTTAGTAAACCGGAGTTTAACTAGAGTGACAGTTTGACCGAAGATATAAGAAAAATCAAAAAACAATAATCAGTACTCAGTAAGACCATAGCTAATAGAAGAGATGGTTTGGAAACTCATTAGAATGACAATATAACTCATTATCTATGCTAGTCAACGTTTATTCATAAATCTGGTCCTTCTCCGTCACGTGCGTATTGTATTTTTGCCCAACTAACCAATAGCAATGCTTTAGGAAAGTTACCTATCCATGACTCGAACAATAGGGTAAATTGGAAATTGCTATTGGTGGATTTGGCAAAAATACAATAAACACGTGACGGTGAAGGAAACGTTGACTAACATAGATAATGAGTTATATTGTTATTCTAATGAGTTTCCAAACCATATATATATATATATATATATATATATATATATATATATATATATATATATATATATATATATATATATATATATATATATATATATATATAGTACGGTACATATTATATGAATGGAGGTTAACAGGGAATTAAGATTCACTTCTGGTATATTAATTAATGGTGTTGTATTAGCATATTATTATTATATATTATTAGCATAAATCGTGATATGTACAGGGTGTATAAAAAAAAACGCAACCTCGGAATTTCCTAAGAAATCACTTTGCAATTCTTAAGCATAAAAGATTTTAGGCCCCTGAGAATTGAAATCGAATTGCTAATAGATCATATTACTGTTGTTGTGCATTAAATAAATGCATAAATTTTGCTTTATGCACTCGCGTGTGCAGTAATTTTGACAGTTATGCTATTTTAAATTCCCAGGCGCCTAAAATCTTTTGTCTTTAAAACAATGTCGATTTCTTGGGAAATTCCGAGGTTGCGCTTTTTTTTATACACCCTGTACAGGGTGTCTCAAAAAAACCCAAAATCATTGAAATTGACGTATTGTTCGATATTCAATGCCCTAGCACTAAGTTAATCCCACGAGTGCATAAAAGATTGACATAACTGCTATAATGAATGGTAATGCTCAGCGTAAACTTGTTATGTCAGGCATAAAGTACTAAACCCACGAATGCATATTACGCATATTACAATTTACGAAGCATTTTTAAATTCCCATGAGCAAACAAGCGTTCACTTTACAAAGATATTTTAATTTTTTAAAACAAATTAATCACCCTGTCAAAATCCTTTGTGTTACGGCATTGAAATTCGAACAATACGTTATTTCAATGATTTTGGGTTTTTTTGAGACACCCTGTACAGGGTGTATAAAAAA